AGACGACGCTGCTCTCTTTCTCTCACGATCTATTAACTATAGCTAACGCGCCAATCGTGAAATGATGCCTAGGCGTCTTTAATGTATTTCGCCGGTCGCGTGTCGTTTCTCGCGCGTGCGTTCTCTTCCTACCCAATTAATTGTCCTAATTAATTGTCGCATTAAATAGAAAGTTTTTTACATATAAAAAATATAAAAAATGAAGAAATGAAAAACAGAAAGAATGTAAGAAATAAAGAATAGAAATTCATTCTTGGCCAATATGTACCGTATTTCTATTATCCGCCAATATCCGTATTTCCATTATGTACATAATGGAGATTCAGAATTATCATTATGTACATAATGGAAATTCGGAATTATTATTATGTCCCGACATAATAAGAATACCCGAATTAATATTATGTCACGACATAATAATAATTCCGTATTTTTATTATGTACATAATAATAAATCTGAATTTCTATTATGTACATAATCAAAGTTCAGAATTAGCATTATGTACATAATGGAAATTCGGAATTATTATTCTGTCACGGTATAATAAAAATTCGGAATTATTATGTCCCCACATAATAAGAATACTCGAATTAATATTATGTCACGACATAATAATAATTCCGATATTCTGTTTATGTCGGGGCATAATGATAATTTTGAATTTCTATTATGTATATAATAATAAATCCCAATTTCTATTATGTACATAATGGAAATTCAGAATTATTATGATGTAGTGGCATAATAAAAATTTGGGATTATTATTGTCCTGACATAATAAGAATACCGGAATTAATATCTCAAACAGCACTGCAATATTGCAGCAATATTGAAGCAATATTATAATATCGTAGCAATATTACAAAATCACAAGATTATTATATAATATTCCAGCAATATTATCACAATATTACAGAGTGATATATCAGATTACAATATCACTGGAATATTACTGCAATGTTACAATGTGACTATCGTATGGCAACATAGTGACAATATTACAACAATATTGCGAGATGATAAATCTCATTGCAATATTACAGGAATATTGCCGCTATATTCCAGCATGATAGACCGCTACGTAATATTTCTGAATATCGCAGTAATACTTCAATGTGATATATTAATCTACAATATCGCAGGAATATTATAACAATGTTGCGGAGTGATATATCAGATTACAATATCACTGGAATATTACTGCAATGTTACAATGTGACTATCGTATGACAACATAGTGACAATATTACAACAATATTGCGCGATGATAAATCTCATTGCAATATCATAGGAATATTGCCGCTATATTCCAGCATGATAGACCACTACGTATTTCTGAGTATCGCAGTAATATTTCAATGTGATATATCAATCTACAATATCGCAGGAATATTATAACAATGTTGCGGAGTGATATATCAGACAGATTGAATAAATCAGCATTATAAAGTGAAAAAACATTAGAAAAATCGATATAAGATGAAATTCGTGATTTCGGCTGCAATGTTGAGTCCGCCATATTGAAAAAAAATTTAGAAAAAAACTACCCACATATTTTTAAGGTACAAATGTTAATAACGCGATCTTTGTAGTTTCCGTATATAATAACCGGTTCCGGTATAAAATAACAATTTTTTTTAAGAAATCAATGATTTTCATAAAAGACAGACTGAAGAAAATACGCCGTTTTGTTTAGATCTAAATGGTCAAATTGTAAAAAGCTTACCCGAAAACTCTTAAAAAAATTATTCCCGAAAAGAATTATTAACGATTACTTTAATATTTGTTAGTTCAAAGTTTATAGTCACGCTATTGACGGTTGCTGTACTCAGTTTCAGAATCCTTTACTGAATAAGACATAAAATTTTTTCGATTTGCGAAAACTTCTTATTGAGAACTTCTATAAACATTATTCTTTATGCTATCATTATATTTATATTTCTATTATTGAAAATTGTCTTATATATATATATACGTTAATATTACATCTGTATTTTTATTATAAAAATGATAATGATAAGATACTGATTTTAATAAAAACTTTTTAGCAATTATGGTTTATAGCATCTTACAAATCTTATAAAATTTATGATTCTGAAGCTATGATTACCGAAAATATTTTCGTTTTGACTTAACAGATGAGCGATATATCAGACAATATCACTGGAATATTACAATATCACTAGAATATTACAATATCACTGGAATATTACTGCAATGTTACAATGTGACTATCGTATGGCAACATAGTGGCAATATTACAACATTATTGCGCGATAATAAATCTCATTGCAATATCACAGGAATATTGCCGCTGTATTCCAGCATGACAGACCGCCATGTAATATTTCTGATTATCGCCGCAATACTGCAGTGTGAAACAATTTATATACAGGGTGTCCCATTTTAATGTCACATCACAAATATCTCAGAAACATTGCGTTAAATAAAAAAATGTTTCAGACAAAAGTTGTTTGGTTTGAAGGAGGACAAGAAAGCGATAGCATTTTGTTTATAAATGGCGCCACTTTTGAGATATTCACTGACAATCAATTTTCATAAATGGAAATCCGAATTTTTTATTATATTTTCTTTTTCTATCAATTAATTTGAACAATTTTTGTCTGAAACATTTTTTTATTTGGTTAATATTTTTTGAGATATTTAAGGGAAACTTGGTAACTTTTTCAACATTTAACTTACGATATCTCGCTAACTATTCGTCGAAAGAAAAAATAGTATTAGATTTTTTACTTTACTTACTATCAAGAATATATTATTATAATAGTGCCCTAACTTTTGTTAATTTATCGACCTTTGGAAATTTCAAAATTATTAAATTAACAAAAGTTAGGGCACCATTAATATATTCTTGATATTAAATAAAGTGAAAAAGTCTAATACTATTTTTTTTGTCGACGAATAGTTAGCGAGATATCGTAAGATAAATGTTGGAAAAGTTATCAAGTTTTCCTTAAATATCTCAAAAATATTAAGCAAATAAAAAATGTTTCAAACAAAAGTTGTTCAAATTAATTGGTAAAAAAAGAAGATATAATAAAAAGTTGGGATTTTTATTTATAAAAATTGATGGTCAGTGAATATCTTGAAAGTGGCACCATCTATTAACAAAATGCTATCGCTGTCTTATGTCCCCCTTCAAGTCAAACAACTTTTGTCTGAAACATTTTTTTATTTAACACAGTGTTTCTAAAGCGTGGTCTACAATGGCCGTAAGCAATAAGAAGAAAGCGTGAACAGTAAGAGATGGACCACAGTTGATTATTTTTGTCATAATCGACTGTGATTGGTTTATTTCTTACCGCTTACGCTTACTTTTTACTTACTGCCATTGTAGACCACGCTTGAGATACTTTTGCGAGATTTATGCCTATTAAGTATTTTAAGGACATTAAGTATTTTTGCAATATTGCTGTGATATTTATGCAATATTTCAGTAATATTCCTGCAATATTGCAGCAACATTTAAGAAATATTGTAGCAACATTCCTGCACGATTGCAGTAATATTTCGGCAATATTTTGCAATTTTTCTGCAGTATTGTGGCTATATTTCATAGGTATTCCTGCAAGATTGTAGCGATATTTCAACAACATTGTGACAAATCCTCTGATATTGTGACAATATTCCTACAACATCATAACAATATTCCCGCAATATTTCTGCGAGACTTATGCCTAGGACATTAAATATTTCTGCAATATTGTTGTCACATTTATGCAATGTTTTAGTAATATTCCTGCAACATTTCTGTAATATTCCTGCAATATTGTGGTGCTATGTGGGCAGAGCATGTCCTGTCGCTTTCTCGTGCGTTCATTCGTTTACACATTTTAATTAATTACAGAATAAATATTGAAAAAATTGTAAAATGGCACAGGACTTTTTTAATTGTTTTACCGAGTTCTACCAGTACACAAAATATTAATGATCACATTCCGGACACCTTATATATATATATATATATATATCAATATTGTTGTTATGTTACCATTATTTTGTGGTTCACTGGATATTCTCTGCAAAAAATATACTGCAAATATTTTCGGCTTTATTTTATAGAAAATAGTTTATGCACAATTTTGCATCAACTATGTCTTGAACTGCAAGTTAAAGATTTATATATATATATATATATATATACCCCATAATAAATATAAAAATATCACTGTTATTTATTTTATAGATATGAGTTTTGCAATCTTATTACTTCAAAGAGCTAAGAAGAATATTGTGCAACCTACATATCTTTCTCGTGCAGAAGAGACTACTAATGAATGTAAATATCATAATATCATAATCATAAATAATCATAATCATCATAAATATAAATGTATAAAATGAATAATATTAATTTATATTAGATGGTTTAATTTATTTCAGCAAGTACCAGTACAAGCAGTAGCAGTAATAGAAGTGATGATTTAGAAATTCTTGAAGGTAGACTAAATTTGCTTTTATTAACACGGCTAAAACTGAAGTTTAATATAGTATTACAAGTGTTACTAATACTATATATAATAATATATGAGGGCAGTCTGAAAAGTTCTCGGCCTAACAATGAAAGAAAATTTTTTTTGCTATGAAATATGTTTTATTTTTCAATGTAATCTTCTGAAACTTCAATACATTTATTCCAACGTTTTTCCAATAATTCAATATCATCATTAAAGTGTGATTCCGAAAGGTTCTTTTCGCTCTGGTGTATAGTGGTGGATCCAAGTTTTATCAACAGTTATAAAACGACGCTTGAAATACATTTTATTTTGCGTAAAACGATCCAAACACGTTTGAGAAATACGCATTCGAATGCGTTTTTAGTCAATTATTAGCAAATGCGGCATCCATCTTGCACAAAGCTTTTTCAACTGGTGCTACTACTCGGATGATTTGACAGATCGAATAAAATTTTATATGGGTTTATATCAGGGGTGCCACTTTCCAATACAATTATAGTTTGACAGTTTCTGATGCCATGTATGTGTCAGGTCGAGAACTTTTCAGACTGCCTACGTATATTAAATATTTAAAACATACATTTCAAGTCACTATAGGTACTCATATTTGGGGATAAGACGAAACTTTATTACTTATAAGTCTGTATGGTGAATTTAAAGAAGAATTTCATAGTGGCAAATGTACTGTAAAACACCAATGGGAGAAAATAGCAAAAATTATGCAAGACAAAGGTTATGACATTACAGGCTTAAAATGTTCTACGAAATTTCAATCTCTGAAACGTGCATACAAAATAATTGTAGACTACAATAACAAAAATGGTAATAACCCTAAGAAATGGGAATATTTTCAGGTATTACATATTTTTAATAATTATTTTTATGTAAAAACGTATGCATATTATATATCTATTCATTTAAAATTTTGATAATAAAAATTATATTTAATCGAAATAAATATAAGAATGAAATATTTTCTATTTTTTTCTTTTTTTTTGTTTCAGATTATGCAAGAATTATTCGCGGATAAGCCGTGGATGCAACCAATGGCAGTAGCTGGATCTCATATTAATACAATTGAAGAAGAAAAAGGGGATGACCTACCAGAAAAAAGTAAGATTAAATGTATCTTATACACGTACTTTACATATACATGTTAAGTAAATGTATTATAGATAAATATTTTATAATTATAATTTCAGGTATTAAAAAAAGAAGGTTAAATACAGTTATTCAGCAGTATATCCTTGCAGTAGACAAATGTTTATTACAATTTATTTATCTTTCAGTTAGATGACCATTGTCTTTAAATGGTACTATAACATGTTTAGTAAGACGATATACTGCTAATATGCTCATCTAATATATGGCTGTCGTTTGGAAAATTTTCATCTGTAAACATGTTTTCGACATTAGATAATCGAAAAACACGCATATCATGGACAAATCCCACTTGTCCCTTGTAACAATGTATAAACCGTAGTTGCACATCATAAATAACCTAAAATATAATTATGTACAATAAGAATAATAAAAATTGTATATTTAATGTTAAAAGTATATATTTACAATGACATAATGAAACTTATAAATGTATATATTTAATATGTATATACACACACACTTAATATATCCAAAATATATTTAATATTTTTTTTAGATACTTAGGTTACTATTTACAGTTCAATCTTATATTTAAAATTGTTTTAAATTTATCTTCAAATGCTCCATAGCCAATGAAATGATCTATACAGCATTTGAAAATAAATTTAAGACAATTTTGTATATAAGATATTACAAATACCAGCCATAAATTAATATTGAAATATTATAAATAACATTAATAACTCTTATTTGTAATTGAATAGAGTAAAATCCCTTTCTGTTAATATATGATTCGTTGTGATATTTTGGTACAATAATTTTTATATGCGTACCATCCACTGCACTGATAACACCTGGAAAACCGTAATGGTCCTTTATTGTTCCCATAGTTTGCTCTGGTTCTTGTCTATTTGGCCAACGTATAAATGTTCTTACATTTGCATATAAAGCATTTATTACTCTCTGCACACTTCGCCATGCAGTACCTTTGCCTATATTAAACCTATCTGAAACACATCTGAATAGCTTATTAGTTGAATGTTTGTAATACAAGTTTTTTGTTATAATTCAATAATTAATGTTATTTACCTATAAGAATTTGGTGTAGCCAATATCCATATTGCAGTAAGTAATTGTTTCTCAGGAGAAATGGGTTCTCTACCAAATCTCTCACTCTGTTTACACAGTTTTGGTCTTAATAAATTCAATAAAAATTCAAAAGTATTCCGTTGCGTTCTAAAACAATTAATATTATATACATATATTTCTTTTATGAATATGTTAATTCAATGATATAAATGTAAGTTGTAAAATATTGGTAGTATTATTATATTGGTAGTATAACATCTTTTTCTCTTTCTTTCTATCAAACATATATTTTCATTACACTTATTTATATATATATATATATATATATATATATATATATATAATCGAACTACAAATATTAAGTTTTTCCCATATTACTTCTTATTTACTTATCGAAAGTGCATCTAAAATTCTTTATCTGTATATAAAGGTATAACGTTTTCGACATAATTTTGACAGAAATAATAAGCGAGGTTTTATTTTATATTTCTTTCTGTAGTTCTCACTGTACACTGTGATTGTGTACTGCGGAACGTAAATCCTCCGTTTCGTTATTACTGCGAAATACGCAATAAAATCAATAGCAGTAATTTTGGAACTGTCTTGCCGCTCTACTGCATGACATCGTATAATCAGGGTGCATTCCGATATTCACTGCCAGTGCTGTGAACGTGACGTCATAAAGCAGTGTTGGCGATGTGTTCCGTAATAGCTTATATCGCTTTTCCTTCCCTATAACGGAACGACAATTGCAGTATTGTCAGTACTGGGGTGAATTTTGACATATCTCGATCATTAGATACATAACCTAAAATGTCAATAATATCAATATGTTCAATAAAAGCGATTGAACTGCTTGATTCATCCGAGTCGGATTTCACAGACGAAGAAGATGAATCTATATTAATATTATTGAATAAAAATCATGAGACACCTCAGCGTTCAATTCCGCGTTTCAAAAATTATATGGACGTGGTTCATTCTTTTACAAATGATGAATTTAAAACACATTTTCGGTAAAGTTTATATAAATTGTATATTTAATATACATATAGGAGTTATATATATATATATATATATATATATATATATTATTATCCATACACATTTTTTCAAAATTATACACAAACGAAAAACACGCATATCGTGTACAGAACCTACTTGGCCCGTATAGCAATATAAAAATTGCAGCTGTTCATTACAAACAACCTGTTGAGAGATATATATATATATATATATATACATATATATCAACAAAAGCTAATTTGGAATGTGGATTATAAATATATTTCTATATATGTATCAGACGTTACCTTCTTGCCTCGAATTAAATGATGATAATGGCTTCTTCGCTGCGTTGAAACAGAAGCTCTTCGTTGATCGGTTGCAAAGTGGTGAACGTTCGACACGTGCAATAAAATGTCGCTGATTCCCACGCGACAGAAAGTTGCAATAAAATGCGTTTGGATACGGTACAGGAGGTTCGAATCACTAGATTTGTTTTCTTAAAAACAGCTTGTTTAATAATCAACAAAAAAGGTGAGTCTCTTGCGAGAATCCGGATAGAGAGTGGGAGACTCCTAACTTAGCGCTGCGGTGTACCGGACTTGTGTGTCAAGAATGACGACGTTGTCTCCTCGGATCGCCTTAGCCTTAATATTTATAGTTCGCGAAAAACCAACCGTGCTCGAGCGGGATTGGTTTAATCTGAATTCACGTTCAGACTTGAAGAGTAACGAATACGACCGTCCTTCGATGTCACATGAAAGAAAACAATGTCTTGTGCTCGAGTTTTTAATCAGTATTCCAATCAGCATTGGATGCTATTGTTTTGACGAATGTACACGAGCTAGGCTCGGCCAACTAGGTTACATTGTTAGCTGTTCATAAGAAATGGAACAACAACAACTCGTAATGTGACATCGAAGCGTCGATATTAGCATTATTTGGAAGCACTTCTTGCAAATCACGGCATCCTCTCGAGAAACTTCCAGAAGCGTGAAATTTAGATTATCTCGAGAGTTTGTTTTTATACACCGAGTTCACGCACTCGAAACATACCGCCTGCCGTTGAAAGGACGTTTCAACTTATCTTAACAATGCAGAGGAGCTTTGACTTGATGCGCATTTGACCAGAAGCTCGCTTGTATCGAGCCATGGTGTACATAGACAAAAACTTCGAAGTGAACAAAATTATATATAACGCGCGATGACAAAAAAAAATAAAAATTATCTATAAAATTGAGAAATAGAGAAGAAAAAAAAAACACAATAATTAACTAAAGGCAATGCTAATTTGATTTCCTTTTATAGGAATGCGCTGTTCTCCTGCGAAGACGCTTTACCGCTTTATGAGCGCATAAGACGAGTATATTTATTTATATCGCGGTGTCATTGGCGCACTCGATGGGGAGTAGACATAATTTTATGAGAGGTCTTCGATATTCGGAAGTAGCGGTTCGCACCGTAACCACCCGAGCTAGTGAATCCGATCCTGGATGGCATTGAGTTATCCGATCGAGCTCCCATTTGCAAGGGGGCAAGTTAGGATTACGCAGAAGCACCATTCGTCCAACTTGGATGTTTGGCTGTTTAGCACGCCATTTACAGCGTTGTTGCAACGTATTAATATACTCATTATACCATCTTTTCCAAAATACTTCGGTAATATGCCGAACTAACTGCCATCGAGAAAGACGGTTTTCGTTCAGCTCGAGCGTGGATGGTTCGGGATTGGTCGTAAGCGCAGATCCGATTAAAAAATGACCCGGAGTTAGGAAATCGAAGTTATCGCATTCGTCGGATAGCGGGGCGATGGGGCGCGAGTTCAGGCACGCTTCCACGCGACATAACAAGATTGTCAGTTCTTCAAAGGTAAGCGTATAAGATTTGAGTACTCGTCGCAGGTGGTGTTTGACACTCCGCACTCCGGCCTCCCAGATACCGCCGAAGTAAGGCGCAGATGGAGGAACAAAGTGCCAAGACACATTATCGCCCGCAGTTTTATTGAGTAGATTTGGATCGCGTAAAGCGGCGCGATATGCGTTCCTGAGCTCGCGGTCCGCGCCTACAAAGGTCGTGCCGTTGTCAGAATAGATTGAGCGCGGAAGTCCTCGCCGAGCGCAGAATCGCGAAAATGCATTTAAAAATGATGCGGTGGAGTAGTCAGAGACTAGCTCGAGGTGAATAGCGCGGGTGGCTAAACACACGAATAATGCTATGTAAGCTTTGTGTGCCTTGATTCCGCGACCGGAGGAAGTTCGCACAAGTAACGGGCCAGCGTAGTCCAATCCGCAGTGGAGAAATACACGTTCCGGGGCAGAGACACGAACTGCGGGAAGATCTCCAATCAATTGGGAAGGCGTAGCGGCTCGCTCCCGTGTGCAGACGATGCAGCGGTATATGACTGCTTGGATTAGACTTCGAGCGCGAAGGATCCAAAAATCGTGTCGTAGAGTACCGAGTGTTAGCTGTAGTCCAGCATGTAACGTACGCTGATGTGCCTGATCGATAATCAAATCGACAAGTGGGTGCCGCGCTAAAAGGATGGGATGTCGGCGTGATATCGGGATTGGAGCATTTCTCAGACGTCCTCTCACCCGAACGACGCCATCGGAATCTAAGAATGGACACAGCGAGTAGCTTGAACTGGTGGTTGCGACGGGTAGTCCCTTTAAAAGCGCTTTGACTTCGGCCGGAAAAACGTCATTCTGAATCGTTTTGATCCAAAATACGCGAGCCGCATGACACTCAACAGGAGAGAGCGCGAGTCGATAGGATGGTGGGGTGTCATTGTGATTCGCCAACCGACGACATCGCGAGATGAACCGCAATACATACGCTGTGACTCTGAGTAACTTAGACCAAGACGAGAAACGAGCAACGAGGTCGGAAGTTGTCGATGACCGACTGCATTGAATCGACACAACCTTCTCTTCCAATGACGCATTGACGGGCGTGGTAAATAGTCGCGAGGGCCATTCCTCGGATGGCTGAGACAACCATATAGGTCCCCGCCACCACAATGAATGCGCGATCAACTCGTCGCCGAGGAGTCCACGAGAAGCACAATCAGCGGGATTATCGGAAGTGGCGATATGACGCCACTCTACGTTTTTTAAGCGGCTTTGTATATCAGCGACTCGATTCGCGACGAACGTTTTCCATCGAGATGGGTGTTGGCGTAGCCAGGCTAATACCACCATGGAATCAGTCCAACAAAAGCACGGAATATGGGCTAACGACAGTGTGGCCCGAACGAATTCCATCGCCTGGGCGAGGAGAACGGCTCCTTGTAATTCGAGGCGAGGAACACTTGTTGGAGTTAACGAAGCCACCTTAGATTTACCTATCAGAAGGCTGACTGTGACATGACCTGTCGTTGTAACAACTTTCAAATAAACTGCAGCTGAGTATGCGACGTTGGAAGCGTCGGAAAACCCGTGTAACTCGGCGCGACGTACGTCGGAACCGAATCCGGTCCATCGGGGAATGCGGAGCTCGCGCAGCGACGATAATTTGGTGTAGAAACGTCGCCATTGCGGGAGTAGGGAAGGAGGGAGCAGGGAATCCCAGTCGAGCCCTTCTTTCCATAATCGTTGCATGAAGATTTTTGCTGTAATTGTGACAGGAGTGACCCATCCGAGCGGGTCATACAATCGGGCTATTGCGGCTAGAACAGAACGTTTGCTTTTTGGTATGACATCGTCCAAAGTGACTGCTAATTGAAACACGTCCTGAACGGGATTCCACGTCACTCCGAGGATCTTGAGTGTTTCGTCGGAGGATAAGGATTTGGAGCAGGCAGGAGCGCAGTTTTCGGACTCAATGTTTGTTAGCAGAGAAGGCGAATTTCCGGCCCATTTTCGTAATTCAAAGCCGCCGCGTAGTAACAATTGTACAAGTTCTTTGCGTGTCTGTTTTAGCGTAGGTATACTGTCGTTTCCGAATAGGACATCGTCGACATATATGTTTTCTCGTAGTATAGGCGCAGCGAGAGGGAAATGATATCCGTCGTCGTCCGCTAACTGTTGGATCACACGGAGCGCCAAATATGGAGCGCAGGCCATGCCGTATGTGAGTAGTTATTCGATCGGCACCGCTTCATTTGCGGATTTCCACAAGATCCGTTGAAAATTTACATCGCGAGGGTCTATCAAAATTTGCCTATACATTTTTGTGACGTCAGCGGCATACACATACTTGAATTGACGCCATTTGAGAATAACGGCCGGTAGGTCCAGTTGGAGCTTTGGCCCGATGAGAAGATGATCATTTAAACTAGTGCCGTTAGAAGTAACGAATGACGCGTTGAAGACGACTCGCACGCGCGTTGTAACACTGTTGTCGCGTACAACTGGGTGATGAGGAAGATACACGCACTGTGAGAGGGACGTTGATCCGACGGGCGCGCGGCGCATATGTCCCAGCTGCTCGTATTCAGCTAGAAACTCTTTGTATTGAGCAGCTAAGGTCTCGTTTTCTTTTAATCGATGTAACAGTGAATTTAAAAGTTTCTCCGCGCGACCGCGAGAATCTCCGATGAGAATCGGGGAGGGGTTTTTGAAAGGCAGGCGGACTATGTAGCGACCGTCCGCTGTTCGAGAATGCGAGGATCGAAAATATTCATCGCATTGCTCGTCTTCTATAGAGAGAGGAATCGGCCTTTGAATTTCCTCGTCCGCCCAAAATTTTCGAATGGCGTTTTCGAGCGACGGGAGCGTGAGACAATGGAAGACGGAGATGTCCTTTGCCGATTGACTGTCCTTCAATGTTGGTGCTGACGGACTAGTTGCGTGGTCGAGTGGACCAGAGAGAATCCATCCGAAAATGATATTCTGAGCAATAGGCTGGGTTGCTTTGCCTTTACGCAAACCTTCTAATAGAATGCTGCCATAAAGGTCAGCGCCAATAATAATATGAATCGGAACGTTACTGAGTGGATCCGAATCAGCCCACTGCAAACCGTTTAAATGAGAACACGATGCAATGTCCGAGACGCGTTTCGGTGCGTAGGACGTGAGATTCGGTAATATGAGTGCTATGGTTGAAACAATGGTGGGCGAATTACCGTGAGACGAGATTTTTATATCGGCAGCATGATGGACTGTTCCGGCGTTTAGTCCGCCTACGGCAGATACAGTCACGGACTTCCGGATTCGTTTGATTCGGAGCATCTGCGCTACGCTCTCGGAAATAAAGGTCACTTCGGATCCTTGATCGAGGAGGGCGCGGACGCTGACGGAACGACCTGATGCACAGCTGACTTTTACTATAGCCGTTGCTAACAAAACATGCGATTGAGAACGTACACGGGTTGCCGTTAGAAGCGAATTAGTTTTAATCAGTGGAGGAGCGATCTGTGAATCCGTAAACCCGGCTTCGGCCTCGCAAGCGGAGCTTTCGGTCTGCGGTGAAACATTTGTAATCACCGTGGCGGGAGCGCCGACGTGTAACAACGTGTGATGCTTACGATGACATTCGCGACATGAATATTGACTTTTACAATCCTTCCGATTATGCTTATCGCTTAAATAATTAAAGCACCGTCGATGCCGAGACGCGAGTTCACGACGCTTGATCGCATTGTTTTTTACAAAAAGAGAACATGCACTGAATGGATGGTTGTCTTTACACAAAGGACACGATTTCGAGGTGGATGCAATCGCTACGTTGACCTTTTGCGTTAATCGAGAATGCGTTTTTCCTGCCGAACTCTCAGTGAGATCCTCGAGAGCCCGAGCGCGAGACGCGAGAAATGTTTTGAGCTCGTCGAACGATGGCAGCTCGTCACTCGGTCCACTGCGGAGATTCCATGCTTTGCGCGTTGGGGAGTCGAGTTTATTTACGACAATATGCACGAGCATATCGTTCCAGAGCTGAGCGGGACTCCTCTGCATATTGGTTATGGCCGCGATTGTGGCGGTAACTTTATCGCAAAGCGCCGACAACTCCGAAGCCGATTCGCGCGATATTACCGGTAAATTAAGTATTGAGGTGAGATGTCCGTTTAGAATCCGTCGTTTATTCTCGAACCGAGCGGTTAATAGATTCCACGCGGTTTCGAAGTTATCGGCGGTCACTGCCAAATCTCGAATACATTCCCGCGCTCGGCCGGCAACGCATGACGTTAGAAAGTGCATTCGCGTGACGTTACTCAATTCGCGGTTTTCGATTATTAATGCGGTGAAGCGATCGCGAAACGACTCCCATGATTCGAATGAACCATCGTACGGAGGAAGGCTTATGGGAGGCAAATGATTAAGCGTTGTCGCAGGTTTCGATAGTCGAATTGGAGACTGACCGAGCGAGGAGTTTGGACTTACAGGCGGCTCCAATTCTTCCAAACTTTCGGCCATGAAATCAAGCGCGCTTTGGAAGGCCTCCTCCGTGTCGTCGAAAAGCTCGTCGCGGAAATAGTCCAGTGATGCTTGAGATGCTTCGGGCACGACCTTGCAGAGTGTGGCGTGACCGTCTAGGAATCGACTCCATGAATCCTTTAGACTTGAGATTCGTGAACGCACTTTGGCAGGAGTCAGATTAGTTTTTCCGATCTTCTTAAAGTTGTCGAGAGCTCGAAGGATGAGTCGGCGAAGCTGATTCTGTTTAGCAACGTGCTCATTCATGGCGATTGCTCTCTATTACTTCACCTGACCGTATCCGGCTCGAAGGACCAAATTTATGTATCAGACGTTACCTTCTTGCCTCGAATTAAATGATGATAATGGCTTCTTCGCTGCGTTGAAACAGAAGCTCTTCGTTGATCGGTTGCAAAGTGGTGAACGTTCGACACGTGCAATAAAATGTCGCTGATTCCCACGCGACAGAAAGTTGCAATAAAATGCGTTTGGATACGGTACAGGAGGTTCGAATCACTAGATTTGTTTTCTTAAAAACAGCTTGTTTAAGTATTGTCAGTACTGGGTGAATTTTGACATATCTCGATCATTAGATACATAACCTAAAATGTCAATAGTATCAATATGTTCAATAAAAGCGATTGAACTGCTTGATTCATCCGAGTCGGATTTCACAGACGAAGAAGATGAATCTATATTAATATTATTGAATAAAAATCATGGGACACCTCAGCGTTCAATTCCGCGTTTCAAAAATTATATGGACGTGGTTCATTCTTTCACAAATGATGAACTTAAAACACATTTTCGGCAAAGTTTATATAAATTGTATATTTAATATACATATAGGAGTTATATATATATACATATATATATATATATATATATATATTATTATCCATACACATTTTTTCAAAATTATACACAAACGAAAAACACGCATATCGTGTACAGAACCTACTTGGCCCGTATAGCAATGTAAAAATTGCAGCTGTTCATTACAAACAACCTGTTGAGATATATATATATATATATATATATATATATATACATATATATCAACAAAAGCTAATTTGGAATGTGGATTATAAATATATTTCTATATACAACAGAAATTTTTGTGTTTAAGAAATAGTAAAATAATAATTATTATTTTATAGCTTGAAACGAAGTACTTTTGCGTTTTTACTGGAATTATTACAGCCTGAATTATGCAAACGCGACAGATACGGAAGGCATCCGATATCCCCTGAAAAGCAATTACTTTTAGCGAACTGGTTCATAAGTACACCGAATTCTTATCGGTAAAGATTAAACACTACACCATAAAAGTATATATAATTTAATATAGAAATATTGAACAAAATTATTTGTTTATATAGGTGTGTTTCTGACAGATTTGGTGTCGGTATAAGTACAGCATGGCGAAGTGTTCAAAAAGTGGTGAATGCTTTATATAAGAAAGTAGCAACATTTATTCACTGGCCAACTGTGGAAGAAGCTGAACACAGTATAGAAACAATTAAAAGAAATCATGATTTTCCTGGTGTGATTGGTGCAATTGATGGAACACACATAAAAATTATTGCCCCACAAAATAACAGTGATTCCTATATAAATAGAAAAAGGTTTTACTCTATTCAGTTACAGGTAAGAGATAAATTATAGTATATTTTAATATTGATATATTTCTCTAACTATATATATGCGTGTATATAATTCTAAATATATGTCTTCAATGTTGTATTACATCATTAGATTATTATATCAGATTATATATTCAGATTGAGATTGTGTGAGTTAGCCACTATTACAATACAGGGAGCTAATTTTACTTGATTTTGTAAATGTTCTTTCCTTATTAGCATTACAATTCGCAGACTAATATGTATATATCTCAACAGGTTGTTTGTAATGAACAGCTGCAATTTATACATTGCTATACAGGCCAAGTTGGTTCTGTACACGATATGCGTGTTTTCCGTTTGTCTAATTTTGAAAAAATGTGTACAGATAATAATTTTCCGCACGACAGCCACATATTGGGTGATGCAGCCTATCGTCTCACAAAGTATATAATGGTACCATTTAAAGACAATGGTTATCTATCTGAACGTCAAATACGTTTCAACACGCGCCTCTCGTCTACACGAATGATGGTTGAACGTTCAATAGGTCTATTAAAAGGTCGTTTCCGAAGTCTTTTAGATACGCTTCCAATGTATAGATCTGATTTAATACCTAAATATATAATCGCTTGTTGTATTTTGCATAACATATGTTTGTTGCAAAACGATACGATAGACATTCCTGTTATTGTAAATGAACAAAATCGTGCACAAACAGAACCATTTGAAGACACACAAGGAGAAGGAGTTGATAAAAGAAATGCAATTATGTACTTCTTATCGTAAAATGCCTTTTATTTATGTTTATCATAAAACAAAACATGTGAATTATAAAATAAAAATAAGTTTTATATTTAAACAAATTTGTTCTATACTTTTTTCCATAAGTATCACAAATCAGTATCACTTTTTTCCATAAGTATCACAAATTATTGAAACATAATATTGCGATTTTAATCAATTATAATTTATACAATGTAATACAATGTAATAAATACATGTAATCTTAACATATAACATATAACTTGAGAAACTAAAACAATTTGCACTTTCACTTTCTATATCACAGTATCAATATCACATTGTATATTTTTATCAACTAGTTTTTTTAATATAATATTAATTATATAATATTAATTCTTATACAATTACAAAATACATTTTTGATAAATTATCAAACTATAAATGGCAAGTCGACTAGATATCGGATCTATGTCTTTTAGATATTTAGAAGCGTTTAGAAGACATCGATCCGGTGTGTTGTGTGCTTATTCGACTGCTATTTCTGAATAGTAAAGTCTTAATAGTAAAGTATTTACTCTTATTAGATACATTTTATAAGAAATTAAAAAAAAAACATTTTAAGAATATATCCTTAGTCTAATATGACTTCTACTATTCTTACAAGGAACATTTTATAAAAAATTAAAGGAAAAAACATTTTAAGAAAATATTCTTAGTCTAATATGACTTCTACTTTTCTGACTTATCTTCTTTCTCTGTCAGTCTCTCTAATATATTTTCGATTTTTTTAAAGGCGAGTAATTTCTCTTCATGCTGTTTTGTTCGAATTTCTCGTCGCTTAACGCGTTCTTCCATACTGAATGATATATAATCATTTAGTAATGTCCGCACTTTTGTCTTTTTGGTGACTGACACTATAAATTTACAATAAACAATATATATATCATATATATTTACGCATACATGCACTATTTTATATCTATCATAAGACATGTTATACGTTACCTTTTTCTAGAAGATTTTCTTTGTCTCCATCTAAATCAGTAGCATTTTCGTTTTCGTTTAAATGCGATCCTGCTACTGCCATAGGTTGCATCCAGGGTTTCTCATCAAATAATTCTTGCATTATCTGTATGTTAAATAAATCTCAAAATGTTAAACCAATATTATGGATATTGTACTAAGCACACACATACACCAACATATATAACTTAAACAAATAAATTTGAATATTCTAACCTGTAAATATTCCCAATCCTTCCTGTTATTCCCAGTTTTATTGTTGTGATCCATAATAGACTTATATGTATGTTTCAAAGCTTGCAGTTTTGTAGAATACTTGAAACCTCTTATATAATGTCCTTTCTCTTGCATGAGTTGGGAGATAGTATCCCAATGCTTTTTTACCGTACCCTTTCCACCAACAAATTTTTCTTGATGTTTGCGATATAAGCCCAAAAGTAAGAGAGTTTCTTGTTTTGTCCATGCATGTGTGCCTGCAATGTGATGAAATAGGAATTCAATATTTGCTCAAAACATATGTGAATATTTAAATAATATATAACTGTCCATCTGCCAATGGTTTACCTTCTGCACATTCTACTACTGTATCTAGACTAGCTGTTGATGTCTGCTGAATGCTACTGGTACTTGCTACAATTATAAACACATTATGTCAAGCTGAATTTAATAATGTTTATTTACTTATCTATATCGCTAACATAAAGCTTATTATTTTTCATTGCACTAATGAACTTATGCAAGTTATTCAGGTAACAAGTAGCATAGCTCATGCAAAAATCGTGATTTTGACATCAAAATGATGAATCTGCTTACCTGGATAGAATAAAAGAAAGCATACCTGTCTTATTCTAACTCATTACATTAGCTTAGAAGTGCAGTGAAAAAGAACAGGGTTATGATTCATTCTGACCGTAGGCCCTGATTCTTGAAAATATATCGCATACAATATTTAGTGAAAAACTATAGTATACGTGAAATGAACTTTAGTTTTCTATGAAATATCGTATGCGATATATTTTCAAGAATCCAAGCCCTAATAATGAAAATCACTTATACCTTGCTGCGAAGTACATATATTTCTTGACTGTCTTGCATGCTGTAATAACTGCGTAGCAAAGGTTAAATCTAAACAAGAAATACAAGTAGTTTTGACATGTAAAATATTTCAAAATAAGTAAAAAATATACTAATTACTAATTTATGAGTTCATATTTTCTAGAATTTCTTTATATTATTCCGTTTTTATAATACAAATTATATATATATTTTCTCCTTACCGTTTCGTGCTCTGGTTGCATCCTTCCTGTTTACAATTAATGTAAAATTTTCGTTGGTAACAGCATCTACCAAACAAATTTCCTCCATCTTTTCGAGCGCAGCCATCTTTCTACTGCGAATGCCTTACCTCGCTAGCCGCAGTAACGAAAACAGGAAGTGACGACAAAATCTATGACGTCACACGTTCTCACGGGCTCATCGAAAGTTTACTGCAGTGTATTTTGGAACGTACTCACAGCACTGTCAGTACTGGCAGTGAATATCGGAAAGCACCCACTGTAAGAACCTTCACTAGAAGTCTACTAGCAACAGGCAGCAATGGTCTAGGAGGTTCGAGCGTCCGATAGCAACCCGCGGGGCCCAGGTTCGAGTCTACCTACAGCCCAACACGTTTTTCTCTCGTGACGTCACGGCCGCCATCTTGCTCATAGAATCAAAAAATCTGGGGTGGAGGAGGAGGGTACCAATAAAGAGGGGGTATCAATTAAGAGGGGGGATTAATTAAGAAGGGGTATCCATTAAGAGGGGGTATCAATTGAGGGGGGGATAATTAAAAAATATTAATTAATAAATAACGTCTTTTGCATAATTAATTAGCAATTTGGGTTAGAATCCCCCTAGTCTATCTACTCATGGTTGAACTTTACACCCCCCTTGTGTGTGTGTGTGTGTGTGTGTGTGTGTGCGCGCGTGCGTGTGTATGTGTCAGCAAAAATAAGATTCGTCTCTCCGCGGTTCGTCACTACCGCAGTATTTAATGACCCCAAACCCTCTCTGCTATGTGTGTGTGTGTATGAGTGTGTGCGCGCGCGCGCGTGCGCGTGTGTATGTAGGCGGGTTTTTATTGAACTAAGTGTTCAAATTGTCTTCCGTCTGCTGCTTGAGAATAACCTTATCGTAGATGAAATTTATTTAAAACGTTTCGTCTCATTTCTGGTGAAATAAGATTTACTTGGTGCAGTATGCGTTTCCTAAGGTCTGCCAAGTTAGCTGGTTTCGTTCCGTACACATTGTTTTTAACATATCCCTATAAGAAGTAGTCCAATGAAGAAAGATCTGGTGATCTAGAGGGCCACTCTATTTCTCCACATCTTGTTATCCATCGGTTTGGGAAAGTACCAGTTAAAAATTGACGCACTACTACTGCATAGTCCTTATCTCTGCTGACATACACACACACACACACACACAGGGGGGTGTAAAGTCCGACCATGCAACTCATAACTCATAACTCATAACTCAGACAATTCTCAACAAAAATAGGTCATCAAGTAGTGTTTTGGAAACGGCTCGTTGTCATATTTAACACTGTGTGATAAAAAATTGGATGTCCCGTTTTAAAAAATCATGTTGGCATTGACCTCGCCTTGACTCCTCTACTCAAGGTCAACCGGATATGATCATTCAATAGAACTTGTAAAACCCTACAACTTTAGTTAGAAACATTTTTCTTAAAAATGTTTCGTTTTCGAGGTATTTGACCGTTTGCAGACTTTTCTAACTAAAGTGATATGGTCCATTATCGATGATTTTATTAAAAAATTTTTCGAACGAAAGTTGCATGGCTTGAAGGACGACACATGACGAAAATGTGGACTTGACCTTGAGTGACCTTGTCAAAATCAGGCCAAGTTCATTAATGTTTTTTTAAATAGAAACTACAATTTTTTATTACATATTCTTGTAGCCTATCTCGAGAGCTTTCCATAACACTCTAACAAAGTTACATTTCATTGAGTACTTTCCGAGTTATTAGGCTTGGAAGTTAAGGCAAGACTGATCACTGATCCGACCAATTAAGGTAAGATCAATTCGAATATGTCTTTAGCCGTTAATAAGTCTTGGCCTTAGAAGTACAAAATGAAACCTCCTTGCTTTTATTACAATATCCTGTAAGTTAACAAATATTCTTCACACATACAAACATAGTATTATTATATTTTTATTGAGTAGTGCACTGAACAACTATGACATTGTTCTGAGAGTTTTCTCATTTAGAGCGACGAAACAAATATATTTTATGAATTTTTTTTCGCGCAGATAGAAAATTTCACGGATGTAATTGCTTTTGGAGATTATTTAATACTGTATGAAAAATATTTATTAACTCACAGGATATTGTAATAAAAGCAAAGAGGTTTCATTTCGTACTTCTTGATTCTGTTACAATCTTCTTTTATATTTCATACTACATCCTTGTATAACTTAAAATTATTCTTAAAATATTATTAAACGATTCAATAATCAAACCTGTGAACCTGCCCGACTCCGCAAAATAATTAATAAAATATATTTCATTTTCTTGACGATTAATACTATTATAAATAATATTACAAATAATAATATTACAAATAATATATATTACAAATAATAATATTATTAATAATAAAATATTATTTGTAATAATTTCGATGCGCCGAGTAGACAAAACTTTTCAGTATTGTCATAGAGAGGAAAGAAGAGAGAGACAGTCGCGCCCGCGATTCAGATTATGGGTAAGAAAGAATTAGGCTCGCTCGCTGAGCGAGAACGAGAGCGACAAGGAGGGAATGATATAATCTCTCTCTCTCTCTCTCTCTCTCTCTCTCTCTCTCTCTCTCTCTCTCTCTCTCGCTCGCTCGCTCGCTCGCTCGGCGCGTCGACAATTGCCGATCGCGTGGCTCACACGGATTGACCGAGTTGGCTGAGTGCGTATATGGGGGGGAGAATCCTCGTGCAAGCCCGTCACCAAATTCGCATCACTGATACTAATGATGTCAAAACCGAACAAGCTGC